CTTCAAATATCCCTACAAAATACTTTTTCTAAGTCAGAATTTTGAGCTCTCTACGAATCTGAACTTTTTCCGCCGAAAAAAATCACTTTGAAATAAAAAACCGCTATTCCGGGGTAGAAAATGGTCATTTCTTTTATATAATAGATATTTATCTCCCTACTTTGTTGTGAAAGGAATTTGGCCGCAACGTCAAATTGGAATGATAAGTGTAGTTTTTCAAGCTCTACCATATTCAAATCTCAAAAATCAAGAAAAAGTTGTGCAACAGGGTAAAAAACCCGAAATACGAGCAAAATTGACATTTTTCACTAGATTTACCAATATCTATTTATTATAGAGCATGAAAAGAATCTGACCGCAACGTCAAATTTTCACCATTAGGGTAGTTTTTCAAACTCTATCCATTAATGATGTTAAAAATAAGAGAAAAATTGTGCAACAGGGCGAGAAATCCAACATATGGTCAAATATCACATTTTTCATGAGTTTTAATTATTTTTAACTATTCATTATCATGAAATCATACTTTTCATAATGTCAAACTTAGACCACTTAAGTCATTTTTCAAGTACTATTTACTGACACTATGGATGATAAGCAATCATATCTTCTAATAAGTCAAAAAAAAAAAAGTCAGAAAAATTCTCCATAATGGAAAAGATTACTCATAATTAGTAAGGGATCTCTATTCAAGGGGTGGCTCTGTTATGGGAAAAAAGGCCAGGAAAATTTCAGAATGCCTAGAATGAAAATCGAATGGTATCTTGATGAGTTTTTTAGAAATAGAGTCGGCGGTTCAAATGATGGCAGAATAGGACAAAATGTGTTTGATTGTGTTGAAGGAATATTTTTCTTTTGAAAGCTATACTGTTCAAATTCAAATGTACAGATCTAGTATAGCGATTAATTTATTCATTAAATTAGTGGACTACAATAGTTATTACAACGTTCGACAGTGTTTTTTTTTCTAAATATCCGTCTTCAAGACATATGTTAACGCAGTATTTGGAATCACCTTGTCAAAATATCTGTATTGTTTTATTCGTCCATTAATTGCCTCAATAATACACCTGACTTTAGTTATGCATCGATTATTGTTTGCTTCAATAGTCTAAAATAAGGAAAAGGTATGTGCTCATTCAATATGCATTTATAGATAAATTAGGAATGGCACATTCACTTTACTTTTCGCTCAGATAAATAAAGTAAAGCAAATACTTTATTTACTAATAAATAGTAAATACTATATTTACGTATTTACCTGTAAAGTAAATACAATGTTCCACTCCTAAAATGAATCTCTTCATCGACTGACATACCGTATATTTTTTCTCTGACTTTGGTAAAAAGGATGGCATATATATATTTAAGCCTAGTGATCGCACAAAGTCTAATACATCACCAAAGTCCCTATCTACCACCAGTGTATCACCAGCTTTCAACCAACTCAAGATATTTTCTTGGTTGGTACGAAGCAAGTGATGAGTAATGTTGGCATCATTGTTGTGCCAATCGGCATAGTAAGGTCTGATTGCTGAAACAATATAGCCATCTGTGGCAACAATCATCATAGGTTTAATCAATGGTCGATTCTTGTGTAGGCTAAAAAGCTTTCGTTGTAATAGATTATTATTGCTTTTTTGCATATATAAGTAAGCAGCATCAAGCACCAGTACAGCCACATCATTTCCATTGGCAAGAAGCTTTTTAGCTAATGGTCGTGTATGATATGTAATGATTGTCTCACGATCCATATGAGCAAATCCGAGGTGTAATGGTACAAAACATTTAATAAGTGTATTACGGGCACTTTCAACAATGTGCCCGATTGTTCGTTTGTCAGAAAAAGAATATAGTGTGGCAAGAACGTCGTTACTAAGTCCAAGTCGAAGTTTTGTAAGTAAACATCCGATCGCCATTGAGACGGATCTATTATCTGTGTTCCTCATCGTAACTTGTTGACATAAAGTATCAAAATGTGATTTATCAATACCAATCAAGATGTGATAATCATGGTCAGAATAATTTAAAGAATTATCAAATGAGATAGATGATCGATTTTCTATAAAACTACTTGTTATTGTTTTTTTTAAATATGATGTTAAGTCGTCTACGAGATCAGGAACTTCGTTAATCATAATTGATGTAATATTAAAATAATTTTGCTTAATCATAGTTACACCCTTCAGCTTTCAAATTGTTATTATATACATGTTTCTTACAACAACGTGCACCTGGCTTTAAATAAATAGTATGTTGAATCAACATTGAAAGTCGGATAGTTTCAGGGATTATAGT